GATGCAGAGGAGGAGGAGGAGGAGGAGGAGGGGAGGAGGAGGAGGAGGAGGCAGAGGAGCAGGAGGAGCAGGAGGAGCAGAGGAGGAGGAGGAGGAGGAGGAGGAGAAGGAGGAGGAGGAGGAGCAGGAGGAGGAGGAGGAGGAGGAGGAGCAGGAGGAGCAGCAGGAGGAGCATGAGGACCCTCTGTCTGCCTCCGAAACCCCATTCGATTCGTTTCGTATGTTGATGACTGCTTCCAACTTCTCCTCGTACTCTGTCTTCCCCGCTCTCCCACTCTGGTACTTGTGTCATCACCTTCCCTCATCCTCCCTCATCATCGTCAGCACCCTCATCGTCATCATCCTCATCCTCATCCTCATCATCATCATCATCATCATCATCATCATCATCATCATCATCATCATCATCATCATCATCATCATCATCATCATGAGCATCATCATCATCATCATCATCAGCATCATCATCATCACCATCGCCATCATCCATCATCACCATCATCAGCAGCAGCACCAGCATCAGCATCAACATCATCATACTCATAACAATCGTCATCATCACCATCATCAACAACAGCATCAGCACCATCATCATCACCATCACCAGCATCATCATTATCAACATCAGCATCATCAGTATCAGCATAATCATCAGCATCAGCATCAGCATCATCAGCATCATCGTTAACAGCAGCATCATCTTCATAATCATCCGCCCAGGCCTTTATACGGGCTCCAGTCGGATGAGGAGGATGAGGAGGAGGGGTAGGAGGAGGAGGAGGAGGAGGAGGAGGAGGAGGAGGAGGAGGAGGAAGACGCGGGGAAGGAGGAAGAGAAGAAGGAAGATGAGGAGCAGGAGGAGGAGGAGGAGGAATGAACTCGTCCTCCTCCGCTTCCTGCTTTGGGGTCCCGTTTTGAAGATAGCAACTTGCCACCGCCTCCTTCTTTCTTCCGCATCATGCCTCCGACTTCTTACCTGCCTCTTGGCACCGCTCTCGCCAGGTGCTGCCAGGTGCGCAACGGTAGACAATGCTGTGGGCTCTTGGAAGGTCCAGCGGGGTGGTGTCCTACCGGATCCAGGCGGGACCTCGCTCTCCCTCGGGTCTGGTCATTACGCATCCGTCGCCACTTTCGTGACCCCCCTGCGAGATCCTGCGGAGTGGTGTCCTCTACGCGGATCCAGCCAGGACCTTGCCCTCCCTGGGGTCGAGCTACTGCGCAACCGTCGCCATTCTCGTGGGCACCTGGGAGGTCCAGCAAAGTTGGCATCCGATGCGGATCCAGACGAAACCTTGCCCCCCTTCGGGTCTGGCTACTCCGCCCACGTTCGCGGCCCCTGGGAGGTCCAGCGGAGTGGTGTCCGACGCGGTTCCATACAGGAGTTCGCCTTCCCTGGGGCCCGTCACATGCGCCACCGTCGCCATTTCTTTCGCGGAGTGGTGTCCCACGCGGATCCAAGCGTGACCTCGTCGGAGGCCTAGAAGTTGACACCAACACCATATCGGTGGTGTGCCTCCACCGAGGGAAGCTGATCCCAATCTCGGCGATGGTGATCATAGCCGGGCTGATTGCCACCGACACCAAATTCTAGGATCACCCTCCCCCAGTGAACGCACCCCGTGCTTTGGTGTCGGTGTCCATTTCCAAGCCTCCCAAAGACTCGCTTTCATTGGGTGATGCTGCCTGCACCGCTGCCGCCGTGCTCGTGGGCCCATGGGAGGTCCAGCGGAGTGGTGACCTGCGCGGCTCCAGACGGGACCTCGTCCCCCCTTGGGGTCTGGCCGCTGCGCAGCCGTTCCCACGGGGGCCGCCCCAGAGGCATTTTGGCTCAAGCCGCCGAGGCTCGCATCTAGAATTTTAAGTCGGGCCTGCCCCTCTACAGGAGGAGTCTTCAAGAATAGGCAAGCAATAGTATGGGGGCGATTTGTTTCTGCATGTTCGAGCATTTTTGTAGCATGTGTTGAGTATGTTTTATTTTTCGTCCAAAATCCCCCTGAAGGGGGACACGCCCGACTTAAATCTAGAAGTCAATCTTTGAAATGAACTAGAGCCAGGCATTGAAAAGTTGCGCATCCACAGCTTGAGAGTTCTTTGGTTTCATCGTGCCGATGCGCCAGATCGGCCTCCCGAAAGCCGACATCCCAGGGTCACGCATTTTGGGGGGGCCATTCGGCGTCTGAGCCCACTCGGCTGCCGAAGAGGCTCGGGATCGAGCCCGTTCGGCTGCCGAACGGACCACGCTCCTGCCGCCCACTGGCACTTGAGCCTGTTCGACTGCCCACTCGACGGCCGAGTGGGCTCAGGCGCCGAACGGACTCAGAGGGAACCTGGGGGATGGCAGCGTGGTGGAGGAAGGATGCACGAGCAGTCGCAGAGGCAGGAGGGGGAGTGACTAAGCGGGGGGGGCGAGGGGAGGGGAGGGGAGGGGAGGGGGGGGAGGGGGGGGGGGGGGGGACACAGTAAAACTGAGGGAACGGGAAACAGGGGGCGGGGGGAGGGAGACAGGGAGCGCTGGGGGGTGGGAGACCGGGAGCGGGGGAGATGGAAAGGGAGGGTGTGGGGGGGAATTGGGGCGAGGAGGAAAAAAAAGGATGGTGGGGGAGAGAGCATCTGGGCTGGCCCGCAGGGGCTGCCGACGGCTGTGGTGCTTCGAGAAGGCACCGCCGGCCTCGGCATCCGCCAGCTCGAGCTCCTCCTCTTCCTCCTCCTCCTCCTCCTCCTCCTCCTCCTCCTCCTCCTCCTCCTCATCATCATCATCATCATCATCATCATCGTCATCATCATCATCATCATCATCCTTCTCCTTCTCCTCATCCTCCGTTCTTTGTCCTTATACATAACTTCTCCCTGTCGCACCCCGAGGCCAGTTCTTAGGGCGGTCCAGGCGTTTCGCCCGAGACTTCCTCACCATTTATGACCCTGAAGCTTAAACATTGACCACAGTTTCACATATCAAGGGCGGGTGGTTTTCAAAATGTGGCTCTCGCCTTAGCGCCGCGCACATTCATGTTAAACATTTGCAAGAGTTTCACGGGTTCCCATGGTCAGCGTACCAGAAATGGTTTTTGAAAAGATTCAGGATTATGAGGGCGCAACAGTTACATTGATTCGCGGTGCTGAAGCCCCAAGAATGGCGTTCTGTTTCGATTTCGGATCGCCAAAACGCAATAGTCAGGTTAATCCGTGGCGTTGGAATCCCGAGAACGATGTTTTGGAATGCATCAGGGTCTTCAAACGGTTGTCTTCCAACGAAGCAGTTCCCTCAGTGGAAATCAACCTTTGTAGGGGGCCTATGAAGAGTAAGCTTGGAGGGATGATGGATTCCAACATCGTTGATGACTCTTGGGTTTACACTGGTCTTCCTCCTCCTCCTCCTACTCCTCCTCCTTCTCCTCCTCCTCCTCCTCCTCCTCCTCCTCCTCCTCCTCCCTTCTCCGCCTCCTCCTCCTCCTCCTCCTCCTCCTCATCATTCGTCCTCCTCCTCCTCATCCTCATCCTCATCCTGCGTCGTCGTTCTCCTCCTCCTCCTTCCCCTCCTTCGTCCTCCTCATCCTTCCTCCTCCTCCGCCTCCTCCTCCTCCTCCTCCTCCTCCTCCTCCTCTCCTCATTCGCCCTCCTCCTCCTCCTCCTCCTCCTCCTCCTCCTCCTCCTCCTACTTCTCCTCCTCCTCCTCATCCTTAATCGCTCGCGGCGCACGCCTTGAGCAGCTTCGCCGGGCAGGTGCGCCGATCGCGTCTGTCCACCGCGCTGGTCCAAGCGCTACGGCGCTGTGGGGCACCGCGATCCAGGGCGTGCCGAATGGCAAGCTCAAAGGGCTACGGGCTGCCGCGCTCCGTGCCGAGGGGCGCCTCCCTCGAGGGGCCTCCCTTGTGTTGTGCTAGCCATGGCCAGCTGGCGCGCCTGCTGGATGCGCGACCCGTTCGTGTTAGTCACGGTGCTGGCCATCCAGACGTACGCCGAAATGGTTTGGAACGGCGTCTTCCAGCGGTCCCTGCTGCAGGTGCTATTGGATGGCGCTCGGCACCTGGTCGCGCAGCGTTTCCCTTGGGCGCGCTGCAGCAACCCGATCACGGCGCTGGTGCTCACCCTGCAGCGCGTCGGCTGGAGCTTGGACGACCCGTTCACGCTGAGGGACGAGAAGGGCGACCGCTGGGACCTCCAGGAGTTTTCGCCGGCGTTCTTCCGTCTCAAGGCGCAGGAAGCGGCCCGGCAAGCCTCCGACATTCACGCCATGGGCCGCTTGGTCAGGCCTGGCCGCCGCAGCTGGGTTGCGCCCGTCTTGTGGCGCCCCCTCAACGAGCTGCTGCACGTCTCGCTGAGCGAGGCTGGAGCCTCCACCACAAGCGGGCTCAACGAGGCCTACTTTGCGGCACGCATTGGTGCCAGGCCCGCCTCTGCGGGGAGGGGGAGGGGCTGGGGCTTTCCGACCTTTGCCAGTGCTGCCGCGGCTCTCCCGGCACCTTGCATCATAGATTTTCCAGTGCCCAGCGCACCGCGCCTGGATGGCGGACAATCTTGACCCAGCGGTGCGCGATGCCGCCGCTCGAGTGCTGGAGGGCGGGGAAGAGGCTGGGGTACGTTTTGCACGAGTGCTCCTGCCTGATCCTGCCCATTGTTTTCGGCGGCCGCCGCTGCCGCCTGGCGCCGAGCTCCAGGCGGACCGCTGGCCGCTGACCGGACTCATGCTCGACGGCGGGCACATTTTCACCGATGGAGCTTGCTTAGACGCTGAATTCCCCACCTTGAGGGTGGCTGGTTGGGCCGTGGTTGCCTACGACGCCGATTTTTGTTGCTTGGGCTCTCTGCGCGGGGTGGTGCCCCGAAATCTTTGCCCGTCCCAGTCCGCCAGGGACGGGGAGGACTATGCTGTCCTGATGGCGTCAAGGCACGCCGCCGGCCGCTACACGCTGCATTCGGACTGTAGTGCCACTGTCGCCTGCGGGCAAAACCTGGCGAGCGCCAGCGGGCCAGCCCAGCCCCGCGCCCACTTGTGGCGCCAGGCGGCTGCTGGCGATGCACTCGAGGACGTGACCTTTTCTAAGGTCCTCGCGCACGCGACGAGGAACGACGTCGTGGAGGAGCGAATCGCGGCTTGGCAGCGCGACGGGAATCACGCGGCCGACGCCCTAGCAAAGGCTGGGGCGGCCGAAGGCCGGCTGGCCGAAGATGAGCGCGCTTTCCTTTTTGGTTGCCTCCATCTTGCGCGGCTCCTCACCCGATACACGGGGCGCATGGAGGCCGTGCTGACTAAAGCCGGCACTCGCGACCATCAAGGCCTCGGTCGGGGTCTGAGGGCGAGATTGGGGGAACGCGAGGAGAATCGCGCGCTGATGCTGCAGGTGCTGGCTCGGCCCCGGCGGCGAACGCAGGCGCGGCCGCTCGTCTGGGCTCGGATCCCGAGGCGCACGCTGACGCTCCGCCTCAGGTTAGTCCCTGGCGCGTGCGTGTGCACAGCCTCCTTGCTGCCCAGATTCGCGAGTGGCGATGCCCAGAGGGGGGACCCCGGGGCGCGTCCTCAACAATGCTAGTTTGCACGACTTGTTGAGGTCACGGCACGTGCCCTGGTCGGGGCCACGGGCTCTTAGAGCCCTGTCCTCCCAGGGACGGTGAGCCACCCCCGAGAGCAAAGAATGCACGCAGCCGCGTCGGCCGTGGGATGCACCCCCACTGGGCGTGGAATGCGACCATCGACGAGGCATGCAGCCCGTCGGAGGCGGTACGGGCGTCCTGGGCCAGCCATTTCGGATTGGATAACGCCGCAGGGGGCCCTGTGGCCCGCACCGCCGAGCCTCCCCTAGGCACTCCAGTTCGGTGGGGCGCGCCATGCCCAAGAGTGGCACTGAGCGATGCCTTACTGGCATTCGGATTTCGCACGCGCGGCCAGGCTGAGGAGCTTGGCCGCGAGGCGCAGCGGCTGGCCGCGGAGCGGGCCAGCCGGCTCGCAGCCACGAGTGCCATCGAGGAGGGATAGTTGCTGTGGACTTCCCTCTTCTCCTCCTCCTTCTGGAGTCGCGCACCTCATCCTGAATCGTCCTCCTCCTCCTCCTCCTCCTCCTCATCATCATCATCATCATCATCATCATAATCATCATCATCATCATCATCATCGTCATCATCATCATCATCATCATCATCATCATCATCATCATCATCATCATCATCATCATCATCATCATCATCATCATCATCATCATCATCATCCTGCGTCGTCGTCGTCGTCCTCCTCCTCCTCATTCCCCTCCTTTGTCCTCCTCCTTCCTCCTCCTCCTCCTCCTCCTCATTCGTCCTCCTCCTCATCCTCCTCCTCATCCTTCGTCGTCCTCCTCCTCCTCCTTCCCCTCTTTCGTCCTCCTCGTTCCTCCTCCTCCTCCTCCTCCTCATCATCATTATCATCATCATCACCATCATCATCATCACCACCACCATCATCATCATCATCATCATCATCATCATCATCATCAGCAGCAGCATCATCATCATCATCATCATCAGCATCAGCATCATCATCATCATCATCATCATCATCATCATCATCATCATCATCATTCGTCCCCCTCCTCCTCCTCCTCCTCCTCGTTCCCCTCCTGCGTCCTCCTCCTCCTCCTTCTCCTCATTCTCCTCCTCCTCCTAGTCGGCGTGGGAGGCTCGAGCAGCGATTTCACCCGACCCGACAGCGGGGTCAGCAGAGAAGGTTCTCCGAGTCTCACAGGGTCACCCTACTCCTCAGGCCAGGGGGGGGAATGGGCTCCTTATGCACAGGGTTTCGCGTACTGAAAGTCGTCTCCAGCTTTATGCCGCAACATGTGTTACCCCTTCTCTTGCGAGAGAGGAGTGTGACCTGTGCAGACAACATCAAGCGTGAGAAGGCGCGAACGAACGAGACGCACGCACGCTCGTGAGCGGGTTGTGAATCTCGCCGTATGGGAAACGTGTCAGAATAGGAACAACAGACAGGTGGCAGTTTACACGACGTATCTTCTTTTGGGGCCAGCGTGCAAAACGGACTCCGCCACACGGTCCGCATCGAAGTCCGTGCTGGCAGATAGTCAAAGTTTGGGAATCAGTCGCTTGCCCCCAGTCGGAACAGGGCTCGTGAAGACAACAAGAGTTTTGACCAATACCTTGCCGCCAAGTGAGGGGAGCGCCCCAAGCTGTTATGCGATGGAAGAAAGCACGGGGGCATAGCGCATCACACAAACTGGCAGAACATGATAAAAGTCTGGCTTCTCTTGTGGAAAGTGATGAGTGATACGATGGCACTGTTGTCGATCAGATGGAGCGTTGGTCGCCTGCGGGGCCTGCAACGCACTCTTCTGTCAGGCGCCGTAGTCTTTTGGACGCAACGAGAAAGAGCATGGTGGCGGACACGGTTTACGGTTAGGGGAGGAAATCCAGCGCGAAAGAGGTACCTGGAGATACCCATGGCAGTTGCAGTGTTTCCGAAGTCAGGCGGCGCTGAAGACGTGGGTGGCGATTGGCGTAGTTTAAACTTGTGGGGGGACTGTTTTGGTTCACCGATCCTGCCTTGGATAAAGAACCAAAGCGAACCGCACCAGATACGGCTGACAAGCAACAGCGTGTGAATAATGCTGTCTTTGCCCACATTCGGGATGGACTGTTGCATATGAGGAAATTCCGCGCAGCGGGGGGGGGGAGGCGAGGAGGTATATTCCATGTCGTCGCAGCATACTGTATAAGTTAGCGCCAGAGAAAGTGAGGCAGCGCTTGGCATACTGGCGAAAACAGGCACATAGGTTCATATTGGTTTGTACTCGTGCTTATCCTAAGCGAGGCTTCTACATGCCACGCGAGTTGATGATTACCCCTGCAATTGGTGTCGCAGAATATACCAATGACAGGACAAACGAAAGGAGGCCGAAATAACTAAGACTAACATTGTTTTCGCGTGTCTTCTCAGAGTGGCACGCGGTTGGCGCGTCGCAGTCGTGTTGCGCAGACAAAGAAAATTCTGCAGCCTAGACGAACGTCTGCCCGCGGTTCCCGCTCGTCCTCCTTGCTCGGCCTGGGTGCCTCCCTCGCCTCGCCTCGCCTCCCCCCCCGCCTTCTCCTGCTCGCCCGGCTTGCTGCTCGCTCCTCTCGTTCCTGCTCCTCGCGTCTTTGCGCCTTGCCCCGCCTCGGGGACTGTCGCGCCCTGGCCTTGTCTTTAGTCAGACATGTCCTTCTACAGGAGGAATATTGAAAATTGCTGTAAAAAGTAAGATGGGGACGATTATTTCACTGTGTTTGACTATTGCTGTTTTTTGTTATGCTTTATTTTCGTCCAAACCCGCCTGAAGGAGGACATGCCCGACCTAAGCCTTGTCTCCATCTGGGCCTGGCAGTCCGCGACCTCTTTCCCCATTTCCAGTCTGTGGAGGTGGGTACTCCTCCGCTCACTTCACCAGCGCGCCCGGGGCAGTCGGCCCCCCCGCGCTCGTGGCCGGCAGGCAATGTGGACTCGCGATGCTCTTGCATACATGTTTCTCGCAGGGGCGAGGTGTTGTCCCGAGCTCTATCGTGGTTTGTCGCTCGGAGCCGCCCCGATGCGCTCAACCTGAACATGAACCTTAACCTTAACCTCCTCGTCCTCCTCCTCCTCCTCCTCCTCCTCCTCCTCCACCGCGCTCTTCCTCCTCTCGGGTCCAGAACCCAGAACCATCGACAAGGCCTTAAGAAGGCATATTGTTTCGTGCCGAGCAGTGGAGCCCTCGCGGGCTGACAGGTGCAAGCAGGCACGGGGAGAAGCAGGAACGACCGAACAACGGGGAGGCTGGTCGGGCAGAGTGAGGAGGCGGAGGCGGGCACCAGTGCTCGTGTGCGCGGTAAGGGGCCATGCCAGAGGAGGAGGAGGAGGAGGAGGAGGAGGAGAAGGAGGATGAGGAGGAGGAAGCGGAAGCGGAGGAGGAGGAGGAGGAGGAGGAAGAGGAGGAGGAAATGGAGGAGGAGGAAACGGAGGAGGAGGAAACGGAGGAGGAGGAGAGGAGGAGGAGGAGGAGGAGGAGGAGGAGGACGAGTCGCCTAAGCCCATCGGAGAATCCCTCCAAGGCCGCCCAAGGTGCCGTTGTGCGGTGCCGTGCTCGCGCCGCCCCGGCCCCGGCATGCAAGCACGTGCCGCCCGCGTGCCGCGCAGTGGAGTGCCCGTGCCGTGGCGCGCACGTGTGCCTCGAGGAGCCCAGGGCACGGCAGGCGACGGCCTCCTCCTCCTCCTCCTCCTCCTCTCCTCTCTCCTCCTCTCTCCTCCTCCTCCTCCTCCTCCTCCGCCTCCTCCTCCTCCTCCTCCCCCTCCCTTCCTCTCCTCCCCTCCACTCCTCCACCTCCTCCTCCTCCTCCTCCTCCTCCTCCTCCTCCTCCTCCTCCTCCTCCTCCTCCTCCTCCTCGGGTCGCATACGGCCCCGGGGGAAACAGTGCAGGCGGCACATTATTCTTCGCACGCCAGGGCGCGAGCACGGTCCGCGCACGGCACGGGCACGGGCACGGCAAGAGCACGGCACGTGGGCGGTTTTTCCTACGTCGCATTCTAGAGCGCGGGCACGGCTCACCCGCGCTGCACGGCACGGCACGCGGCACGCGGGTTGCATCTCTTTCGCACCGGAGCTTGCAGACGCGGTCTTGTCATGCGAATGGGACCCCTTTATCACGTTCGTTGTCTAGGGAAATTCTTCGATCGTCCATCCTCGAACTTCATGATCCTCCTCCTCCTTTTCTTCCTCCTCCTCTTCCTCCTCCTCCTCCTCCCCCTCCTCCTCCTCCTCTTCCTCCTCCTCCTCTTCCTCCTCCTCAGGCACTACAGAAATAACATGGCCATCCACGAACGCGAGAAACGACAACACAACACATCAGGACGTCAGGGCAACTGACCTGTACAAAAACGCTGACCTGCTTCCTGGAACCTGGCTGGCATGAGACCCAGGGCGAGTTGCACGGCCCGTGCACTCGCCAGCCAGGGGCGCCAAGAATCCTCCTCCTCTTCCTCCTCGAGAGTGTTTTTTTGATCGCCCCCCAATAAATGCTTGTCACGGGGTTCCCCCCCCTCCGTAACGGTAGCGATTATACGGCGGGCGGTGTCGCGACCCCCCCCCCCCCCCGTACGCGCGGCTGTCGCGGTGTACACATCGGCGACGTACACAGGCGCTGCTGTGCACGCAGGCACTGAGTTGTACACCGGCGCTGTGTTGCACGCGGCTGTTGTGGTGTACGCAGGCGCTGTGGTGCGCGCAATCTCTCCTGCCTTGGTGGCAATAGAAGATGATGTTTCTCCCTCCCCCCATCTTTCTCTACTCGCAGGCCCCCGTTGTGCTCACGGGCTATTGTTGTGCTTGCACGTCGCGGTGCTCTTAGG